GCACCCCGCCATTTTTCTGCCCGCGGCGAGACATTCTTTGGTCTGCCCTTTTTCGTTTTTCACGCTTGCTCTCTCTCCTTCCGTCCCTCTCCACCTCATTGTCCCGTCATTTTCCCGGGATTTTCCGGGGTGTCTTTTGTCTGACCATCCTCAAATGGTCTCTGTTTGAGTGCCAATCTGTATCCGATCTCGATCCCCCCATCCATCCTATCCTCAAAAACAGATACCCGCATCCAAACAAGCTCCACACACGGCTAGGGCAGATTGTTTCACACCTGGGTGCTTGCCATAGATAGGTTTTTTCCTCAAGAATCTCTGCTAGCCTGCCCCTTCCAAAAGAATCTCTGTTTGCCTCCTGCAATTTCCTCCAAAAATCTCTGCTAGCCAGCCTTTTCCAAAAAAATTCCGCAGATGACCTCTGCTAGCTAGCCCTGCTGAAAAATCCGCAAACATCTCCGCTGGTTTGGTCCCATTTTCTACAGTATCTCTGCTAGCATGCCCTTTCCCAAAAAATCCCCTGCTAGCCTGCCCCTTTTCCTAAAGAGTTTCTGCTAGCCTGCTCTCGTTTCCTCAAAAAATCTCTGCTCGCCTCCCCACCCATATCCGCTTTCCAGGGCAACGATGGCCCGATGGCTATTCCCGTGGCTTCTCCTTCTGGGTATCACTATCAGCTGGGCGGCAGCTGCGCAGGTATTCCGCTAAATTTTTTGCGATTTTTTTATCAATAATTCAAATTTTAGCAATTCGAGACGGATGCACAGCTGGCAGCATTCGTCGAGTGAGTCGCATTACATTGGAATCTTGCATTTTTTTGCCACCGTATCCGAAGCCAAGCGTAGGCCCGTCTGCGAAATTGCGTATTTTGGAGCGTCCCGTAACCGTAGTACAGTAGATTACTCTGGAGGCTAACTATTGTCTTTTGGAACGTACAGTAGTCCGGTGTAGCGTAATTTGGAAAGAAACGTAATCCAGGAAACTACCGTAATCAGGAATGCATCGTAAACAGGAAACGGCTGTAATTCGGACTCCCGTAATTTGGAAACTGCCGTAATCCGTTGAATTCCGTGGTTTGGAAACAAGCGTAGTTTGGAAGATATCACAGTCCAAAAAAAGCGTGATTTGGAAAGTAAGGAAATCCGGAAACTACCGTAACCCTGGAAAAGGCGCAAATTGGGAAACCACCGTAACCCGGAAAAACCGTAATTTCGAAACCACCGTAACCATCTACCTTCATGTGGAATGCACCGTACTGTCGAAAAATCCGAAACTTACACGCCCGTTTAGTGGGGGCGGCGATGAGCAGGCAGTGGAAGGGGATGGAGACGAATTTCGGGAAGCACGACAGATATCGAGAACGGTTCGTGGACTTTTCCTCTCTCTCTCTCCTCTCTCTCTCTCTCTCTCTCTCTCTCTCTCTCTCTATCCCTCCCTTTATAGTTATTCTCCCGCCGCCATCGTAAGGTAAGCTCCAATCGGCCCACCTAGCTTGCTTTCTATAAGTTGCCCCAATATACCGTAACCCCCCAGCTAAGCGACTAGACATTCGGGAGTCCTTTTTTAGTTTACGACTAATTCCGGTCTCAAAAAGCTGACATTACGCCCATTTAGAGACCGGAAGAACCGGATACGGTAGAAGCAGCAGTGCTCGCGTCGACTACGCCACCATCCGATAGACGGTTGGACACGCTGAATCGATTTCCGATGAGGGGACCGTTTAGAGGGAGGAGGTGAGAGAGCGAGAGCGGAGAGAGAGAGAGAGAGAGAGAGAGAGAGAGAGAGAGAGAGTAACAAAAAGGTATTTTCCCAAATCACCTCAGCTAGCCCGCCAGGAACCAATTACGCCATAAAATAGCTCGGAATGCCTAGTATTACGTGGCGTAATCGGATCCTGCGTCTAACCGATTAGGCGGTTTAAAGCAATAGAGAACTGAAACAATATAGAGCAAGAGAGAGAGAGAGAGAGAGAGAGAGAGAGAGAGAGAGAGAGAGAGAGAGAGAGAGGGAGAGAGAGAGCGAGAGAGAGCGAGAGAGACCATCATTTCCAGGCCGTTCAACCGAAACCCTGCCTTCTTCCGCCGACGTCTCCAGCGTCCACAGCATCCCCCCGTAGCCCAGCAGCCGCCCGTGGTCCCGAATTCCCCGCCGATCGCACCGCCGGCCGCGCCACAGGCAGCACCGCAACCCGCCCCCCAAGCCGCCCCTCCCCCATCGTTCATCGGAAGGTATCGTAGTTTTTGGCGCTTCTTTTACGTATTTTCGAGTGCCATTGCCCTAACGTAACATTCCGATACCTCGACAGATTCCGCGGCCGTTTCCCGGGCCTCCGATTGACCGAGCTGCCGGATAGTGAGGGCCCACCCGGCGCTTCCGGTCTCTTCCTCTCCCCACCCTTCATCCGTCAACCCCTCCCAACCACTCGACGTCGCCCTTCACTCCTCGTCCGCTTCCGACCGGACGTCTTCAGTGGATCGACGACCCCACTAACCAAAAGACCATCTACGACAAATGCCCAGCTAACGTAATTTTTTACTTTTTGACTGTTGGTTTTTGGCTAATCTGGCTTGGGATTAGGATTGAGCTTGGGCTTATGCTTAGGCTTAGACTTAGGCTTAAAGGGGCTCGGAAGTCAAAATTCGTGCGTCCGGAGATTGACCCTACTGGTCAAAAACCGAAAGGATCACTGCCTAGAAGTGCCAGTAAACTGATTTGATTGCGAAAAAACGTAAAATATTTGAGAAAAACCGAACCCTTTTCGGAGCGAAAACGACATTTTGAGTGCGCGGCGATTACCTGTCGTAATGCCTTGTAAGGCACCCAATCTCTCGTTCTCCGTGGTTCTCTGGTCAATTCTCATAATTTAAAAGTCTAGAATGATCAAAATTCGATGAGGATTACAGAAATGGCTTCAGAATTTTTAAATTCAAGCGTTTTTGCGTCCAAATAAGGCTAAATGGTCAGGCGACGCGGTCGCGTTGCGGCCGCATCTGGCTATTTGCCAGGAATCACAGCAGGGGGCCGTGGACCAGATTTCGGAGCCCCTTTAAGCTTAGGTTTAGGTTCAGCTTACATGTAGAGGTTGTGGGGTCACAGACTCCAAAACAGCTCAAAATTGGTGGAAAAATCAAATAAGAGACGGGGAACACGATGCGATAAAAATTAGCTGCCAATGGGCACTTTTGTTTAATAAACTTTTAATTCTAAGATTTTGTATGGAAAAGGACCTAGAATCGCGACCTGGGTCGCGAAAACCGTACGGCAGAGGGGAGCCCTCTTGAAGACTTCCCAAGAGCCCTTTCCCGTCGGTCTGGTGGTGTAGAGGTAGGGTCCCCGAGTGACAGGCTAGGGGTCGAAGGTTCGGATCCCGTCGTTATTTTTAATTTTTGCTTTTTGCTGCTTTCGCTTTTATTTTGCAGGAAGAGTGTACAGAAGGGTTTTCGAAAGTTTTTCGGTCCTATTAATCCCAAGGAGTTGCCTGGCCAGAAAAATAAAATTTCGAAAATTTTGGAAATTTTTCGGAAGAAAGGCCCAGCTACCTATTCCAGTTCGATGATGACCAACCGAATAGTTAATAAATATTATTTTTGAACCGATATTGTAAAAATAGAATTATTCCGGCAATCTGAAATACCTCGGGGCTCGGCTCCGTTTTGAAGCGCCTAGGGGTCAGAGCCACCTATTTTAAGCAGCTTCCGACCCTCCCAGGATCCGGGGCCATGGGATAGGTCGTCAAAATTTTCGTGAAAAAATATTTTCTAGAGAAAATTTTCTTCGGGTCCGGAAAGCGTTCTAGTGTCGTGGCGGCTATGAAAATTCCTTCAAAACATTTTTTCCCAGCTGGAAGGCGCGATAGAGCAGTTAAAAGTGCATTTCAGCAGCACTTTTTTGCCTAAAATTAAAAGTTTATTAAACAAAAATGCCCATTGGCAGCTAATTTTTATCGCATCGTGTTCCCCGTATTTTATTTGATTTTTCCACCAATTATGGGTCGATTTGGACTCTGTGACCCCGCAACCTCTACATGTTAGGCTTAGATTAGGCTTAGGCTTGGCTTAGGCTTAGGCTTAGGCTTAGGCTCAGGTTCGGCTTAGGCTTAGGTTTAGGCTCAGCTTAGGCTTAGGCTTAGGCTTAGGCTTTAGCTAAAACTTAGGCTTAGGTTTAGGTTTAGGCCTAGGCCTAAGCTTAGGTTAGGCTCCGGCTTAGGCATGACTTAGCCTAAGCTTGGCCAAGACTTAGGCTTAGGCTTAGCTTAGGTTTAAGTTTACGCTTAGGCTTCAGCCTTAACCGTCGAAAATGATGAACATAACATTATTCAGAACTCGTCCGCCACCGCCAACCCCACCACCGTCACCGCCGCAGATCAGTGAGTCCAAGCAGAGATCCTTTAGGAAAGGGCAGGCTAGCAGAGATCCTTCAGGAATCAGCTACCAACTCAATTTTCCAGCCCCCGAGGCGCCCCGATTCGACATCGTCCGCCCGCCGCAACCGCGCCGTCCCGCTTTCCCGCGCCGGCCACAGGTTTTTCCAATGTTTTAGGCTCATTTTTTATTTGATTTCTATGCACCACTGGCTTTCCACTAACTGGGCGGCAAATTGGGGGATGGGAGGGGCAGACTGACGGGGACTCTTGGGGAAATTCCCGGCGGTCGGCCTCTTTGAAGCGTGATTTTCTAAATCAGGCTCTGGATACCGTATCCTGATGCTAATTTAGACACTTTAAGGCCGCAAAATACGCAACAATAGTCATTTTCCGGTCCGTAAAAAGTTACTTGGCTAAACCGCGCCCCAGCTACCGTAACCACAAGCCAAAAAGTAAGGAAATGGCGCTTCCCAGCCCCTTTAAACGTCCTTTTCTAGATCGCGCGCCTAGCTACCGTATCCAAAAGCCTAACAGCAAGAAGTTTTCCCGGCCCCGTTAAACGCAGTTTTCTAAATCGCACCCCAGTTACCGTAACCTTCAGTCTGCCCCGCCAACCCCCCATCCTCGGTTACCCCAATTTTTAGTTGTCGATCATCGTCGGCACCACCCACCCACCATCACCATCACCGGATACCGTAACCCGTGGCCGCGGCGGGCGCACCATCATCGGTTTTCGCGTAACACGCCCCATTTTCGGCAGCCACACCACTAACAACGGGGTTACTGTAGCGCCTACAGTGCCCCAATTCGCGCCGGGACCTTCAAATGCCATCAGGGCTGAACGCCTTGAAGACGTGGGTGCAGAAAATTCCGCTACAGCACCTTCTACCGGGCCCCAATTCGCGGCGGGACCCTCAAACGCCATCAGGGCTGAACGTCTTGAAGATGTGGGTGCGGAAAAAGCACCCACAGTGCCGCCCAGCGTACCCCAATTCGTCGCGGGACCACACGCCATCGCCGCGGGGCTGCTCAACCCGCCGAGGGCCGTCATTCTGCCCGGTACCGTACCCTCGACTACGAGAGGCTCCGCGATTCCACTGGTCTCTGACACCACCGCAGCACTAATAGACACCCCAGAACCGGCCGTTACGGTACCCGTGCCAGAAGAAGCCGTTGAAGTGTTCAACACCAGGGTACCCTTCTTTCTGAGGAGTACCGCACCGACAACGCCGACGTCTTCAAGCGGTTCAGAATCTGTTAGTACGACAATCATAACGCCCACTTCACCAAGCAGTACAGTGACGACACCGCCAATCATTTCGAGCACTACGGCATTTGCAACGATGTCTCCGAGCAGTCCGGCAAAAACAACGACGTCGACCTCGAGCAGTACCGTATCGGATAGTACGGCCGCCTCAATGGCGCCAACGTCTTCGAGTAGTACAGTGTCGGGTAGTACGGGAACCACAACGCCGACGACGACTCCAAGCAGTTCAATATCTACCACCACATCCTCAAGGAGTACGGTACTTGCTACAGTGCCCCTCACCGTCCCCTTCCGCTTTGCCGGCAATTCAATCCTGAGCGCCGAGGAGACGGCCGACGACTTCGAGGAGGAGGAGGAACGGCTCTTGGCGATGACTACGATCACACCTATTGACGCTGGCGGAATTAGTACTGTAGCGGAATCGGAGGCTACGTTATTTCCTCCAAAAACCGAAACCACGACGCTACAAACTACAGAGAATTCCTCGCTGAGCCCAACTGATGGATCTACCGTACCCACCGCCACGGGGACTACGGTAGAACCCGAGAAAACTACGGTATCGGAGCCGAGCACTACGAGCACACCTAATGACCCCACCCCAACCACTACCGTATCACTAACCGAAGCCACGCCCACTACCGTATCCCAGGAGTCGACTACGGTACCTGGAGATGACCGAGATGTTCAACAAGCAGAGGAAGATGATGACCCAAATGACTTGGTTATTTTTTGGTTCTCACTAAAATTTGGGAAAAGCAAAAAGCAAACGTTTCGCCTGGGATCGAACCCACGACTTCTAGACGTTCAAAAAACTTGTAGAAGACGTCGAAAAACAAAACGCAAACTTTGACGCCGGAAGGGATCGAACTCACCAATTCTAGATGTTCAAAACCTTGTAGAAAACGTCAAAAAGCAACAAAACAAAGCACTTACCTCGGCAGGGATCGAACCAACGAGTTCTAGACGTTCAAAAACTGGTGTAAAGCGTCGATAAATAAAACTCAAACTTTGACCTTAGCGCGGATCGAACCAACGAGTTCTAGACGTTCAAAAACTTGTGTAAGGCGCCGAAAAGCAAAACGCAACCTTTGACCTCGGCGGGGATCGAACCCACGACTTCTAGACGTTTAAAGTCCAGTTAAAAAAAATAAAAAAGCAAAAAGCAAAACTTTGCCCTCGGCGGGGAACGAACCGACGAGTTCTAGATGTTTAAAAAACCCGCTTTTTTCGGTTCTCACGGAATTTCAGTTGCTTGGTGGTGGGTGTATTCAATTACGCGACATAATTCGTTAGGAATCCAATCCTCAGTTCGCACCGGGACCCAACTTGGTGATTTAGTTTGGGAGAAGGTATAACTACCGTAACCAGAGGAGCTGTAGGGGGCAGTTTGACCGATTACGCCACGAAAACGCGGGGGTTAATTATGGGTTTAGAATCGGCGAAGGCCGTTCTTCAATAGAATACCGGCTGGACAGGTGAAGATGGATGTCCCGACGACGGGTGAGTGAGAGAGAGCCAGAGAGAGAGAGAGAGAGAGAGAGAGAGAGAGAGAGTGAGAGTGAGAGAGAGAGTGAGAGAGTGAGAGTGAGAGAGAGAGGAAGCGAGAACGATGCCTTTCCAGAAGCCCCGCCCCCAACCCAGGGCCTCATCGTCCCGCAACGCCCTCAGGATGACGCGGAGTTTGTAGCCCCGCGGAGGACAAGACCTCCTATGCCCGCCAGACCCTTCGCAACACAGGTATCAAAGAATCTCTGCTAGCCTTCCCTTTCCTAAAGAATCTCTGCTAGCCTTCCCTTTCCTAAAGAATCTCTGCTAGCCTGCCCTTTCCTAAAGAATCTCTGCTAGCCTGCCCTTTCCTAAAGAATCTCTGCTAGCCTTCCCTTTCCTAAAGAATCTCTGCTAGCCTGCCCTTTCCTAAAGAATCTCTGCTAGCCTGCCCTTTCCTAAAGAATCTCTGCTAGCCTGCCCTTTCCTAAAGAATCTCTGCTAGCCTGCCCTTTCCTAAAGAATCTCTGCTAGCCTTCCCTTTTCCTAAAGAATCTCTGCTAGCCTGCCCTTTCCTAAAGAATCTCTGCTAGCCTTCCCTTTCCCTAAAGAATCTCTGCTAGCCTGCCCTTTCCTAAAGAATCTCTGCTAGCCTGCCCTTTCCTAAAGAATCTCTGCTAGCCTGCCCTTTCAGCCGCGCTTCACCCGCCCTCCTCCCCATTTCCCCCCGAGGCTCCCGACCACCGGGATTACGGTACCGACGACGAGGCCGACGTCTTCAAGCAGTTCCACGACACAACCTCAGGTAGGTGACGCCTTTAAAGGAATCGAGAAGGGAGTACGGTGGAGTACGGTATGCTTTAGTCGACCACTACTGCGATGCGGCCAGCGGCGCCCTCCTCGGTCTTGACGTCCCCGCAGACGTCGCCGACGACAACGACTCGATTGACTAGGTGGGAGAGAGAGAGAGAGCGAGAACGAGAAAGAGAGAGAGCGAGAGAGAGAGAGAGAGAGAGAGAGAGAGAGAGAGAGAGCTAGACAGATAACGTTTCCTTCTAGCCAAACCGCCCCATCGACCGTCTTGACGACGACGCGACCTCTTCTACCAACAAACACCACGAGTCGCTTCGTCCCTCCATCGACGACCCGTCAGCTGCCGCCGATGACTACTACGGTAGGCCGGCTAGCATAGATTCTTTAGGAAAGGGCAGGCTAGCTGAGATTCTTTAGGAAAGGGCAGCCTAGCAGAGATTCTTTAGGAAAGGGCAGCTAGCAGAGATTCTTTAGGAAAGGGCAGCTAGCAGAGATTCTTTAGGAAAGGGCAGCTAGCAGAGATTCTTGAGGACTTTGCCAGGAGTGTGAGCTAGCTAGCAGAGGCCATTTGCGGAATTCCAAACGTTTCAGCTAACCCGTGGCCCCGCGCCACCAGCAGCCCCTCCATCGACACTTCATCCCTCCTCCTCCTCCCCACCTCCTGCTCCTCTTCCACCTCAACCCCAGCTGGCCGTCAATTCCGTGAATGGTATGTGCTAAATGCTGCCCCACTACCGTACCCCTCCCTTCAGAGCCCGAGCCGCCAGCTCCTCGCCCAGCCTCCCCGCCCTCGTTCCCGGCCATCCCCGGATCGCCGGCCGCCCAGCCGCCAGGTGCGGATTGTAGTTTGTAGGATTCGGTATTTTAAAGGGACTGTGAATGCTAGAATTTCATGTCGTAATTGGATAGCCGTTAATATAGCTGTAATGAGCTTTTCTTGGCTGCCAGACGCTTTAGAATAGCGGTTTCACTTTTCGACTCGAGAGCTGGTCTATCGGAATCGATTACGCTACGTAATGCACGTTAGTAGTTCCAACGCGTAATCGATTTTCAAGGGGATAACTGATTACGAACCCTTTAATTATATGCCACTTTTCATGTCGTAATCGGTTAGATCTCCTGCAATCAATTACGCCATGTAAAGGAAAACGCTATTTGATTTACCTGACCTAAACGCATTTCAATGGCGTAATCGATTGCTGATTCCTGTCACTGCCCCTTTAAATCCGGATTAACGGGCGTAATCGATTAAGGGTAACCAGTTACGCGTGGTAATGGGATGCAAATTACGCGCCTGCCAGCTTTGTTGAATTACCCAGCATAATCGGATGCTGCGCCCTGTCACCACCCCTTTAAAATTGACGATTTTCCAGACGACACCGTGGTGAACGCGCTGAACGTGGCGGAAGATTTCATGGCCGTCGCCAGGCGGTTCAACCTCCGACGGACGGCCCGCCGGAAACGGATGGCGCTATGGCAGCGCGAGAGCGCTGGCGTTTAAGTGGATGATTTTTTCGATGTTATTGGTGTTTTTAATGGCTTGATTCGTACAAAATTGCTCAGTTTCTTTGTCTGCTACTCTCTCTCGCTCTCTCTCGCTCTCTCTCTCTTTCTCGCTCTGTCTCCCTCTCTCTCTCTCTCGGTCTTTCTCTCGCTCTCTCTCTTTCTCGCTCTCTCGCTAGCTCCCTCTCTCTCTCCCTCTCTCTTTCTCTCTCTCTCTCTCTCTCTCTCTATCTCGCTCTGCCTCTCTCTCTCTTTCTCTCTTAATCTCTCGCCCCGATCCTCCCCACACCCCAGGAACGCTAATTGACCCCAATTTCAAAATATTTCTTGCCCATTTTTGCCTTACGGGTATTGTTACATGTATATATCACTTGCCTACTGCATTCTGTGTGTTTTTCTCGGTGCTTATCGAAGAATTAATTGCTTTTTTGTGTCTAGCGGGTTTGCAGAACAATTCTGATACCAGGGCAGGCTAGCCGAGATTCTTTAGGAAGCGGCAGGCTTGCGGAGATTCTTTGCACGATACTTTACCGATCCATCACCCCTATTTACAGACATTTTTTAAATTATCAAGCAGCTGGCTTGGAGCACTTTTAGCAGAGATCATTTGCGGGTCACGAAAAATGCACAAAATCAACAAAATGGTGTTTAAGGGAATAAGAGAGAGAGAGAGAGAGGGAGAGAGAGAGCTAGAGAGAGAGAGAACGAAAGCGAGGGAGAGAGACATGCCATTCCTACAATTCGATCATTTTCGACGGCACCTCCTGCCGGGGTACGGTAACGGTCTTCGTTTTGGCGCTTCGCGGCGGGATATCGTGCACGTATTTCGTCTCGCCGTCGCCCTTCTTGAACTCGAAGTGCGCCCGTTGGGCATTGATCTGGAAATCGGGAGCCTAGCAGCGATTGTTTGAGGAAATGGAAAAGGGCAGGCTAGCAGATATTCTTTAGGAAAGGGCAGGCTAGCAGAGATTCTTTAGGAAAGGGCAGTCTAGCAGAGATTCTTTAGGAAAGGGCAGTCTAGCAGAGATTCTTTAGGAAAGGGCAGGCTAGCAGAGATTCTTTAGGAAAGGGCAGGCTAGCAGAGATTCTTTAGGAAAGGGCAGGCTAGCAGAGATTGTTTCGGAACTTAGGGCAGGCTATAGCAGAAATCACTGAGAAACATCTCCAAACCCCACCTCGGTGTAGATGAAGGCGCCCCTGCTGAACCCCAGCTGCGAAATCGGATTCCAGCCGGTCGGATAGCTAAATAGAACGAACGTTTAAAGGGATTATGACACCATTTCCAAGCAGTTCACCGCTCCTAGAAAACCAACTTGAACTTGAGGGACCCGGCCGGTATGTAGTCTTTGTGTTTATTGGAGCGATCGGTCCTCGAGGCGGCCCCGGAGATGATGTAGTTGATCGAGGCGCCGTCGGGGAGGTCGGTTTGGATGTGCTGAAAAGGTTTGGAAGGTTGCGGACTAGCAGGGATGGTTTGGGAAATAGCGCGACAGGCTAGCGGAGAAAATTGGGAAATAGGGGCAGAAGGGCAGAGGTTATTGGGGTGGTTAAGAAAAGAAACAGAGAGAGAGAGAGAGAGAGAGAGAGAGAGAGAGAGAGAGACAGACAGACAGACGGACAGACAGACCGAGAGACAAAAAGCGAGAGAATGGGAGAGAGCGAGAGAATGGGAGAGAGCGAGAGAATGGGAGAGAGCGAGAGAGAGCGAGAGAAAAGCGGAGAGAAAGCGAGGAGAGAGAGAGAAAATCTAGCAGAGACCCTTTCGGAACATTTCCAACCTGCAGCGTATGATCGTGGCCGGCAAAATACGCGCTGACGTGAAAGCGTTCGAGCAGCGGCTTCAACCGCTCCACCAGACACTGGAAATATCAATTTTAGTGAATTTTTCGTAGTAATTTAGTATAAAAGTTTAATGTTACAAAACAACTTAGCTCTGTGCACTAAAATTTATACTAAACTACGGCTCTTATCACCTGTGTGGGCCCATGGCTGGACATCGAATAGACCGGATAATGGCCACCAACGAAAAGGTAGTCGGCACTGGAATGGGGCATTTTAAAGGGATCGTGACATCGGATTATGACAGATAAATCGAGAAAACTTGGGGCAGGCTAGCAGAGATTCTTTAGGAAAGGGCAGGCTAGCAGAGATTCATTAGGAATTCCGGAAATCTTTTTAAGGGCTTGTTCCATTGGAGTTAGTGGAAACCAGTTACGACCTGTAATTCAAGAAACTATTTCCTACCGGCTCTGATTGAGCGTCTGCGCAATCCACTCCCACTGCTTCTCCGCAACCGACGCATTCTTTGGGCCGTCTAAAGGAGCCGTGCCGGGTTACGGTAGCGCGATACGGTACCTGGCACTTTGTTCCCCTTCAACAGAAGGTCCCACACCGAGCCGTACTCCACGTCGGCGGTATTTCCTGCAAAGAACGAATAGCAGCAGGCTAGCAGAGACAATTGAGGAATCCGAACTGCCCACCCACCGCAGAGAATAATTGTGTCGATCATCACAAAATCGATCGTCGTCCCGTCGTTCAGCGTGTAGTTGAACTTGTACCAGTAGTCGGGGAACATCCTGAACAAAAAGGTGGTATTTCTCAAAGAATCACTGCTAACCTGCCCTCTTCCTAAAGAATCTCTGCTAACCTGCCCTCTTCCTAAAGAATATCTGCTAACCTGCCCTCTTCCTAAAGAATCTCTGCTAACCTGCCCTCTTCCTAAAGAATCTCTGCTAACCTGCCCTCTTCCTAAAGAATCTCTGCTAACCTGCCCTCTTCCTAAAGAATCTCTGCTAACCTGCCCTCTTCCTAAAGAATCTCTGCTAACCTGCCCTCTTCCTAAAAGAATCTCTGCTAACCTGCCCTCTTCCTAAAGAATCTCTGCTAACCTGCCCTCTTCCTAAAGAATCTCTGCTAACCTGCCCTCTTCCTAAAGAATCTTTGCTAACCTGCCCTCTTCCTAAAGAATCTCTGCTAACCTGCCCTCTTCCTAAAGAATCTCTGCTAACCTGCCTCTTCCTAAAGAATCTCTGCTAACCTGCCCCTCTTCCTAAAGAATATCTGCTAACCTGCCCTCTTCCTAAAGAATCTCTGCTAACCTGCCCTCTTCCTAAAGAATCTCTGCTAACCTGCCCTCTTCCTAAAGAATCTCTGCTAACCTGCCCTCTTCCTAAAGAATCTCTGCTAACCTGCCCCTTCCTAAAGAATCTCTGCTAACCTGCCCTCTTCCTAAAGAATCTCTGCTAACCTGCCCTCTTCCTAAAGAATCTCTGCTAACCTGCCCTCTTCCTAAAGAATCTCTGCTAACCTGCCCTCTTCCTAAAAGAATCTCTGCTAACCTGCCCTCTTCCTAAAGAATCTCTGCTAACCTGCCCTCTTCCCTAAAGAATCTCTGCTAACCTGCCCTCTTCCTAAAGAATCTCTGCTAACCTGCCCTCTTCCTAAAGAATCTCTGCTAACCTGCCCTCTTCCTAAAGAATCTCTGCTAACCTGCCCTCTTCCCTAAAGAATATCTGCTAACCTGCCCTCTTCCTAAAGAATCTCTGCTAACCTGCCCTCTTCCTAAAGAATCTCTGCTAACCTGCCCCTCTTCCTAAAGAATCTCTGCTAGCCTGTCCCTTTCCTAAAGAATCTCTGCTAGCCTGCCCTTTCCTAAAGAATCTCTGCTAACCTGCCCTCTTCCTAAAGAATCTCTGCTAACCTGCCCTCTTCCTAAAGAATATCTGCTAACCTGCCCTCTTCCTAAAGAATCTCTGCTAACCTGCCCTCTTCCTAAAAAATCTCTGCTAGCCTGCCCTTTCCTAAAGAATCTCTGCTAGCCTGCCCTTTCCTAAAGAATCTCTGCTAACCTGCCCTCTTCCTAAAGAATCTCTGCTAACCTGCCCTCTTCCTAAAGAATCTCTGCTAGCCTGCCCTTTCCTAAAGAATCTCTGCTAGCCTGCCCTTTCCTAAAGAATCTCTGCTAGCCTGCCCCTTCCTAAAGAATCTCTGCTAGCCTGCCCTTTCCTAAAGAATCTCTGCTAACCTGCCCTTTCCTAAAGAATCTCTGCTAGCCTGCCCTTTCCTAAAGAATCTCTGCTAGCCTGCCCTTTCCTAAAGAATCTCTGCTAGCCTGCCCTTTCCTAAAGAATCTCTGCTAGCCTGCCCTTTCCTAAATAATCTCTGCTAGCCTGCCTTTTCCTAAAGAATCTCTGCTAGCCTGCCCTTTCCTAAAGAATGTCTGCTAGCCTGCCCGTACCTAAAGAATCCCTGCCAGTCACCTTCTAAAAACCGACCATTTCTTACTATATTTCGTGTAGGCGATCTGGGCCGACACGTTCCCGAAATGGTCGTGATTTCCGGCAATGGTGAAGAAGGGGATCCCATCAAAGGTTGGGTGGCTGTAAACGTCTTCGAAGGACGTCTATAACATTGTAGTTTGTAGCCGGAAAAGGGCTCGAACCTCAAACCGCGCGTCGAACTCGTTGACGACGCCGGTGAAGTAGACGTTGTCGCCGGCGTTGAGGACGAGTTGAACCTAGAAGGGAGGGAGGGTGTAGAGAGAGAGCGAGAGAGAGAGCGAGAGAGAGAGAGAGAGGGAGAGAGAGAGAGAGAAAGAGAGCGAGAGAAATGGAGAGAGGGAGGGCGACAGAGAGGGAGAGAGAGCGAGAGAGAGAGGGAGGACGGTACCTTCTTCTCCTCGACCACTTTGATCATGGTGTCGCGGACGGTGCCCTGGGCGATGGTGGTATAGGGATAGATGGGAAGGCCTGGAAAGGAAGCAGGCTAGCAGAGATTCTTTGGGAAATGGCAGGCTAGTGGAGATTCTTTGCGGAACAAAACACTCACCTCCGGTATCCCCAATCAGCAGAAATCTCAACGAGCTATCGGTCGGCTTACAGCCCTTCGATCCCTTGGCACAGACCCCAATCGAGACCGTTTCCGGGAACGCTGTCGAGCCGATGGCTAAAATCGCGTGTGATGTAGCCCAATTTTCGTCTAATTTTTGCCTTCCCGATCCCTTTAAAAGGACCGGAAAGGCAGAATTAAGCATGGATTTTCAAGCCCAGACTTCAACGGCCCTTTAAAAATGATGTAAGCTGTTTTAAACGTAAAATTCGCGTTTTGTAGTTACCTCTAGTCTTCGGGAGTAGGGAGAGAAATTCGGCTAAAATGCGCGTAAAATGGACGCGAAATTGTGTAGCGGCGCAACTTGTCCAAGCCGTTCAAGTCAGAAAAACTGACCGGTGCCGATGGCCAGGCAAAAATAGAGGGCACCGAGGAGGCAGCAGAATAAAGGAGTCCTCGGCATGGTACTGTAGCTGTTACCCGTGAAATTGACCGTCTAGAAGAAATGTAGATGGCTTTGAATTGAGGTGGTTGATTGGTTGTGAAGAGAGAGAGTGAGAGAGACGGAGAGAGAGAGCGAGAGAGTGAGAGTGAGAATGAGGGGGAACAGATAGTGTGAGCGAGAAAGAGAGATAGACCGAGCGAGAGTGTGAGAGTGAGAGAGAGGGACGAGAGAGTGAGGGAGAGAGAAAGAGAGAGAGAGGGAGAGAGATGGAGAGAGAGGGAGACAGAGCAAGAAAGTGAGTGAGACGGATCCGAAAATCAGCCTCGAATCGTTTCAAAAGGGATCGTGACAGCTAGAGAGAGAGAGCGAGTGAGAGAGTCAGTGAGAGAGAGAGGGACGAGAGAGTGAGGGAGAGAGAAAGAGAGAGTGGGAGAGAGAGAGTGAGGGACTTAGTGAGACAGATCAGGAAATCGGCATCGAATCGTTTTCAGGGATCGTGACAGCTAGAGAGAGAACGGGATAGAAAGAGAGTGACAGAAAGAGATAGAGAGCACGAGAGCGACAGAAATATTTATCGCAATGTTATGATGTTGATGATGGGTTATGTTCATTTTTCCTAAAAATCATTTTTCCTAAATTCATTTTTCCCAAATTCATTTTTCCTAAAAATCATTTTTCCTAAAAATCATTTTTCCTAAAAGTCATTTTTCCTAAAAGTCATTTTTCCTAAAAATCATTTTTCCTAAAAATCATTTTTCCTAAAAGTCATTTTTCCTAAAAATCATTTTTCCTAAAGTTCATTTTTCCTAAAATTTTTCATTCAATAGGGATGCGTAAAAATATCAAGAAATTCCAAGTGCTATCATTTTTAGCAGTATTTGTTTGGTTTGGTTATTAGTAGGCTTTTATCGAAATCTTTCTTATTATCATTGATCCTTTTCACTTCCAATCACCCAAATCTAGGCTAAACGCGCAACTAAAATACTTCCTATGATCACTCTAGGCAGATCTGACCTTATTCTAAAAAATTTTCTATTTTCTCATGCATAGTACTAAAGAAACTAGGCCTTTACGGTATTTAACCGGTTTTAGGAAAAATGAACTTTTGGAAAAATGATTTTTAGGAAAAATGAGTTTTAGGAAAAATGATTTTTAAGAAAAATGACTTTAGGAAAAATGATTTCTAGAAAAAATGATTTTTAGAAAAAATGAATTAGAAAAAATGAATTTAGGAAAAATGATTTTTAGGAAAAATGACTGGAATTCGTTGATGATGATGCTGACTAGCGGACCGAGCCTTTTGAAACCGACAACCAGGAGATTATGCAAATTAGGTGTGACTAACCGTGCGGCAAGCTCAGCTTTTGCCCTTTGGAAGCACAAAATGTGGCGAAATCAATCTTTTTGTGTGTGTAAAATGTAGGCAGGCTAGCAGAGATTCGTTAGGAAAGGGCAGGCTAGCAGAGAAAATTTAGATAACTCACTCCATTCTCGACTCCCTCATCACTCTCATCGCTGCCAGCAATTAGCGCTCGGCGCATACGGTAGGCTCCAAACTACACGCCCCCAATTCCGGGGCGTAATCGAATAGAATTCGTTGAAATTTAGGGGATTCTGGTGTGGTCGCTTCCGAAATTGGGTTTGCCAGACGACGAGGGAGCAGGTTTTCGGGGAGGGAGCAGAGACACGGGCGATAGCACGCGGGGACTGTGGACGGTTGGGCAAATAAGGGGGATGAAATCGGGTGGGAATCGTTTTAAAGGGAGTGAGACAGGAGAGAGAGGGGAGAGAGAGAGAGAGGAGAGAGAGAGAGAAAGCGAGAGAGAAAGCGAGAGTGAGAGAGAAAGAGGGTCAGAGCGTGAGAGAGAGAGTGTGAGACAGGGACAGTGAGCGCGAGAGAGCGAGAGCGATAGTGAGTGAGAGAGATAGTGAGACAGAGAGCGAGAGAGAGAGAGAGAGAGTGAGGCAGAGAGAAAGCGAGAGAGAGAGAGAAAGCGAAAGAGAGTGAGAGAGAGAGAGAAAGGGAGAGCGCGCGCGAGTGAGGTAGAAAGAGAATGAGACCAGAAAGTAATAGTAATCGTTAGGCGTAATCACGACCAAAACCGGCAAACCTCGAAAATGACTGTCGCCCATACTGACAAGGTGAGGGCGAAAACCCGCTGGCTATTTGCTCGGATACCCCAAGAGCCAAACACAGATTATTTACCCAAAAAGGAAGTGGACACGAGTAAGAAGCAAAAATTCTACAATTGTCCCTGCTAACCTGCCCTTCGCTGAGCTGATTTTAATCTTGGCTTAGGCGT